CTTAGGGACCCCCGGGGGACCCCACCCGCTTCCTTAGGGACCCCCGGGGGACCCCACCCTCTTCCTTAGGGACCCCCGCCCTGCTGGGGCTTTTTCCCAGCCCCTGTGGTGATGGTGGAGCTGGAGCTGAGCAGGTTCCTGCACCCTGTGCCCGTGTCCCCCCCTTTCCCGGGGGTTTCTCCTCCCTGCAGGCTCCTGCAGGGTCCCGCTGAGCTGGAATGCCCCTCTCAAGCCCCGCAGCAGCGGATACCCCCTGATCATCTTCTCCCACGGCCTGGGAGCCTTTCGGTAGTGAGAGCCCTGAGCAGGGCTGGCACAGGGATGTGGGGGGCTCTCCTGGCCCCACTCAGTGCTGCCCTGACCCTTCTGCTCCCATCTCCCTTCCAGGACCTTGTACTCTTCAATCTGCACGGAGCTGGCGTCCCGGGGTTTCGTGGTGGCAGCGCTGGAGCACAGGTGGGTGCCCAGGTCCCCACCAAACTCGTGCTGGGGCTGGTGGGACATCGTGCCCTGGGGGGAGCTGCCGGTGTCCCCCTCCCTCCTGTCCCCACAGGGACCATTCTGCTGCCACCACCTATTCGTGCACGGCCCCGGCTGGCACGGAGGAGTGGATCCCCTTCCAACGGGTGCCCCAAGGGCAGAAGGAGTTTTATTTCCGAAACAAGCAGGTACCGGGGCGGGGGAATCAGGGTGAGCAGAGGGGAGGGCTGAGATTCCTCCTGCATCCCTGGGGATGCTCTTCCCAGCCCTGTTGGCGCTGGGGCTGAGCTTTCCCCTCGGAGATGAGAAAAATCTGTTCAAGCTGTTCCTCTCTGTTTCCTGGGGTCTGTCTGTCCGGCTCCAGCTGACCCTGGCCCTGGATAATGTCCCCCCACACCCTGGGGAGAACAGGACTCTGTGCCCAGCCCAGCTCTGCACCAGCTGCTGGGTTTGTTCCCACTGGGATTTTTGTCTCTCTGGGATTATCCCGGACAGCTGCTTGCTGGGGAGCAGGAAGGTTTCCTGCTGAGCCAAGTTCCCCCCCTCTGTTTGTTTCTGCCTCATTTAAAAGGACAAGAGCGAGTCGTGGAAAAGCTTTTTAGGAACGGAGGTGCTTTTGGCAGCCTTAAATCACCTCCCTGATATTTTTGTGTGTGCTCTGCCTCGTGGCACATTGCACAGGAAAGGGAAACAGTTTTCCTTTTCAGAACCCGTGAGCAGAAATGGTGAGGGAGAAAGAGAAATAGATGATAAATAGAAGGAAATAGTCGCCAGGTCAATCTCAATTCCAGCATTTTCTGTGTTGCAGAGTGCAGGAGAGAGGTTTTCAGTGAGTATTTTGTCACTTGTCACCTTGAATGTGCACGGACACCGACACTGGTGTCCTTAGGGCAGCCGAGGACGTGGCCTCGAAGTGGCTGCAGGTCAGGGCATCCTCTCCCTGAATCATTTCGGGTTTTAGGATGCTCCTGGTGCCCCTCAGCTGGGTTTTAGGGGCACAGCCAGGTTTGCTCCTGGGTTCAGGGGTCGCTGTGGGGGTTTGGAGCTGGGCTGGGGGGCAGCTGGTGAGGATCCAGGGCTCCCCCTCCCCTGCTTCCTCCCCAGAGCAGAGGCATTTGCTCATCTCCAGCCGTCTGCTGCCAGATTAACTGAATTAAAAGCAAACACCAAAAAGAAACCACTCCAATAAACGCCGCGGCGCTGCCGCCTCGCGCCTGCCTTGGCGTTTGTTGCAATTCAGGGAGAAGGAGAGGAGCACTGGGGAAATGAGCCTGGATGGGCACTGGGGGGAAGTTCTGAGCCCAGGTTTGTGGTTGGAGGAGCTGGGCTTGCCAGGGAAGGGCTGACTGTTCCAGGTTCACCAGAGAGCGCAGGAATGCGTGCGGGCGCTGCGGCTCTTCCAGGGCATTGCCGGCGGAAGATCTGTCCCGAACATCCTTCACCAGGACTGGGATCTCTCCGTGCTGAAGGTACCTGGCTCTGCCTGGAGGGAGCTCTGGGTGCCCCTTGGTGGCAGGATCAGTCCTGGCTGCCTGGGGCTTTTCCTCCTGGGACAAGAAGGGTTTGTGCAGAGCTCCAGCCTTGCAGCTCTCCGGGAGCCTTCCCTCCCCTGTGGGCAGCAGAGCCCGTCCCAGCAGCAGTGGGACACGGCATTTCCCCCCTTCCAGGGACACTGCTCATCTTCCCTTGGCTTTTCCTTCCCTAGTTAGAGACCTCCAGATGGGAGCTTTGGGCTCAGACTCCTCATCCCTCTCCCTTTTGCAGGACAACCTTGATCTGAGCAAAGTGGCCGTCATGGGCCACTCCTTTGGGGGGGTGACAGCGGTGCTGGCCTTGGTGAAGGAGCCCAGCTTCAGGTGAGGCATGGCAGGGACAAGGAGGGGACAGGGGGCTCATCCTGGTGGGAAGGGGAGCGGTGCTGGCTGCCTGTCCTGCTCTGCCCTGCTCCAGGTGTGCCGTGGCTCTGGATGCCTGGATGTTCCCTCTGGAGAACCTGCTGTACCCAGAGGTGCCCAAACCTGTGCTCTTCATCAACACCGAGAAGTTCCAGACCCCGGAGAGCTTTGCTAAAATGAAGAGGCTGAGCTCCAGGAACAGCCAGACGAGGATTGTGACCGTGCTGTGAGCTGGGGGCTGGCACCCACCCCCTGCAGGGACCACCTGGGGGTGTCCCAGCAGGAAAACCCCTGGCTTCTGCTGCACATCCCACTGATGCACATCCCTCCCCTGCCCAGGGGAACCACGCACGAGGACCAGACCGACTTTGCCTTCCTCCCTGGGAAGCTGCTCAGCCGCATCTTCGGCAGGAGGGGGAGCCTGGACCCCCACAAGGCTCTGGCCATCACCAGCCGGGCAGCTCTGGCCTTCCTGCAGAGGCACCTGAGTACGGCCCAGGCTGGGGGAGCAGGGGGGCACCAGGGCTCCCTGCTTTGGGGGGGCTGTGGGGCTGCTGCTTCCCAAAGCACGGGGGTCTGCTGGCTGCTCCTTGGCTTCTGGAGAGGCTGTCACCTGGAGGGGAGGCTGTGGTGACCCTGACACCTGGAGGGGAGGCTGTGGTGTCCTTGTCACCTGGAGGGGAGGCTGTGGTGTCCTTGTCACCTGGAGGGGAGGCTGTGGTACCCTGTCACCTGGAGGGGAGGCTGTGGTGTCCTTGTCACCTGGAGGGGAGGCTGTGGTACCTTGTCAAGATCGGAAGAGC